CCCGTTTGTAGGAACTGAAAATAAAATAAATTCATAATTATAATAAAGGTCAATCAAATGGACCAATATGGCAAGGCCATGATGATCCACTTGGTAAAATAAATCCGCTTGGCATCTTTCTTGGCCTTAAGACAACAATTCTGATGGCTAAAGATCCAAACGGGACACGAAAAAACAAAAACAAAAAACAAAAAAACAAAAAAACATACGTATACAGAACTCCAGATGTTATTAAAAACATATATTTTAAACATGGCACAAACAAGTGCCTTAATGTTCTTGAATCTTGAGTGGTAGAACACTGACTTTTCATCTTTTTGTAGGTCTCCATGTTTTCTTTGGTGGGTGAGGGACTTGAGTCCTTGAACAGGATGGAAGGATCTGTTTTCAACTCTTGTTCTAGCATCCGAATCATTTCATCAGGCCTCTCGGAGGAGTGGAGTATTTTTTCAAATACACAATCTATGAGACAAATAAAAAATGTCAGGCCCTTGAGCTGCTTAATTATGGCAAAAATCGGTCAATATCAAGACTTTTCTAGTCTTTATCAAAAAAGCAGCTTTAAACTTCTCACATTTTACACATTCGCACATTTTTGTAGTGCTTTAAAAAATAAACATACACTGCTCCACAATTAGAAAAGGCAACAGCAAAATATGACCATCTACTGGCAAAGTTTAAAACATGAGTTAAGACAATAATTGCTGACTGACCTGTGAGCTTGGTGTAGGCTTCCATGTCTCCTATAGCTGTGGATAAACTGAATATTTTTCCTTCTGAGCCTTCAATCCGGATGCATTCACCTGCTTGTAAGAGGGCATCTTTGATCCTAAAATAAACAACTTCAATATTTTACTTTGAGAAACTTTTTTTTACTATACAATATAATCAGAAATTACATATGCTATATTCAGGAGATCATGCTAAATGATCAAGTATATTGTAAGAGCAGATACTCACATAACCTCTATGATCCTGGTCGTTTTGTGCTGGTAGGCTGTTCTGTGGAGTAAGCTCCTTATTTGGAACATGCTATACAGATTGCTCACCTCCTATTTAAAGTATTCCTACAGTTTAGTTTCAACTAAACATAAAATATTAGAAGCACTGAACTTTATGAAAACTAAAAAAAAACAACCCCCCCAAAACAATACCTTGTCTCTAAAGCAGATGTGGTTTATCCCGTCCACCCTACACACCCGGGCAAACACGAGGCAGCGGCGATGGTCAAAGCTACTCTGAATACCCAGATAGTAGCTATCTCTGAGAGGACATAATGTGGAAATATGTTAAGAAATCAAAATAATACATTGTAACTTATTATGTTAAAAACTGGTCTCTTTAACAGGATCTACCTGGCAATGTAGTCAAACTTGTCCACATCAATGCCATTTTTCTCATTTTCCACAATTTCATAGAGGAAGTACTTGTCCTTTGTTCGACCCATGAACTGTGAAAAAACACAGACGAATAGCACAGACATCGAATCCTACAGCAATACTAAGAACTGAATTCACTGTTTTTACACAGAAACTGATATAAACCTGGTCTTGAGTTTCATCAGTGTTCAGATGTCCTCGGATCATTTCCTTGATGAACACCAGGTCACTTTCATTTTGACCATCCACATTCAGACCATAATTCTTCATTGATGAATGGAGATTATTGGTACTCAATAAGTGATCAAACATCTTCACAGAAATCTCCTGGCGCTGAAAGATACAAAATGAAAGATACGAAAAAATCTACTCATAATAACTGTTACATGCTGTCTGGAAATTACAGAGAAGAAGGGAAACAGTTTCTTCACATACTCTGTCATTATGAACTGTATCGTTTTAAATACTCAAAATACTTGGAAATATGATGGGGAAGTTCTCACAGACAATTTTCAAAGAAAGGATGCAACATAGAAAATATCTTATTCCACCATTAACCTTATCAACAGAGGCACTCCACCAGGTAGCTGTAGCTCAGGGGGTAGATTGGGTGAACTACCTACTCGAAGATCAGGGGCTTTACAGCTGGTTCCTGCAGTCTACATGCATTTAGGCATCAAACAATGTGCTTGTATGTATTTGTGTATGAATGAGGCTTAAAGTAGTGATTTGAGTATCGAAATCCTAGTAGAGGAAGATTAAGATTACAGGTTATTTTAAAAAGCTTAAATTTTAGAATGTAACTGTTAATGGCTCTCTGTTGTTTTCATGTCTGAATCTTACAATATGAAGTAATGAAATGATTAAGGGCTTACAGAAACATGAGGAATGTACACAGTAGCTTATATTGTACACTATCAGTAACCTCATTAACACATGGACGGCTTAGGATCTAAATAATGTTGTTCTTCTACACTAAGTCCTCAGAAGCTAGTGTAGGTCCTTCGGACTTTTAAAATCCTGTGTTCCCAGCAACTTCTAACGGAGTTTGCCATTATATAAAAAACATATTGACTCTTATTTAGCTGCTTCTCATAATCTGAGTCACTGTTTTCAGAGAAAGGTGCATATAAAAATCTGTCCTCAAGTATTTTAGGATTATTTTATTAGTTGTATTACTTTTATTGGCCCAGTGAGGAGTGATGATGCTTCATAACAAAACATTTTTAAGTGGTCAAAAACATGAGAAAAGCACTGTATAAATTCCATGCCTCTTCAAAGAATAATTGTTGTATGCCTCCTGAATATACAGCATTGGAGGAAAAATTAAACACTCAGTAAACGACTGATGGAGTCTCATGCCATATAAAATCAGGTGCATGGACAATCTTTAAATTCTCTTTTTATTCATTGTCATAAACCAACAGCTGGCTCCAGCTCCATGTTTGATACACAGAAAATGAATTTGAGCATTTCAGATTATTTTTAAATCTTTCCTGGTAATCTGGTTTTCTAATTAATTAGAAAGTTTCCAAACCGATGTGAGTAAACAGTGCTAACCACTGACCCACAGTGGTACAAAATCAAGAGACCTTAACAACAAAATGCTCAAATGTGTTTGCGTTTGGTGATGCATCTCAGACATGAGAAAACTTTGCTTCTTACCTTCCTTCTACAGTCCGACAGATCTGCCCTTCTTTCCGGGATGAACATTTCCTCAAAGACAATGGAAAAGGGTCCTTGTCCTGCATACAGAGATAATACATTTGTTATCAGTGTTTGCATATATAGTTTCATATAAAAACAGTCTTCCATTGATGTTTCTTTTTGTCACATTGGCCTTATAATACACCATTAGGTTGGTGTGAATTAACTTTTATACTAGTTGTTCATCAATTACCCAGATCATGGCAAAGTCCTGCAATCTGCACACACAGGATGTCTTTAGGCGTGATATTGAGTTCTGGCTGCTTTGTACTTAGAGCTTCTGCAAACTGGCCTGCTAGGTACGCCACTCTGTAACACAATGTATGTACAACTGAGTTGCACTGTTTCAATAACTCTATGGAGGTATGGGTCAGTAGTTACCCTACTGCAGAATATCTGATAAATACCCAAGTGAATGCTCAAAGCGATTGTGAGATGCTCCAGGGAAAACAAAATAGGCCCCTCCAAGTTGCTTGATGTTTCGTAGTCTCTGAAACTGAGGTGTGTCAATGATTTTGACAAGAAGTGGGTGTAACTCTAAAAGCCCATGGATGGGATCATAAAAGACCTGGAAAAAAACAAAAATAAGACACATGTAGCTGAGTTATTTCATAAAAACTATGATAGCCAAAATAGTAGAAATTCAATATTCCGAGTATTGATTTTGTGGTCTTAAGATGTGTGATCATAAGTTGTGGGAAAACCCCCACAAGATAAAAAATAAAAAATAAAAAAATACTTTAAAAATCAAATTTTTTGTGTTTGAAAAAAACATTTCAGTTAAAAATACTAAATACATTTAAAAGAAATTAAAACTAGGTGAAATGACTGATTGGTCTTAAACTTGGACAAGAAAATACCAAACTATAAGAGATCTGATCATTTGTCACGGCTGGGGAAGCAGTTGTGTTGTGGAATGAAAGGAGGACCCAAAATGCAGGCAGCTAGTGATGTGACGTTCCGTATCGAGGCTTCAAAGCTTGTGTCGAGTAATGGAGGGGGCGTTTCCGCGATGCACGTATCGAGGCTTGCTTCATTTATGGGAGGAGCTGAAAATGATGACGTCCGAAGCCTCGCTGCCCGGCTGTACCACGTGACTGGTTCATGAAGTGGTTCGAACTTTGCCGCGAGATATGACAGCGATATAAACCCCTCAGACTTCATTCAAAAATGTGGGTGTTTGATGGAGAGTTGCGGTTAGTGAGAGTTTGGAGACCGTTTGGAGGTTTATGAGAGTGAGGAGAGAAAGTCAGGAGAGAATGGAGCCAGCTAAGAAGAGGAGGATGTCCTCCCCTGTGTGGGAACATTTTGATTTTATTCCTCCCAACAAGGTATGTAAATTTCTACAGAAGATGTATTTTCATAATACTGATGGTGCAATACAATTTATGTTAAGCTGTCGTTACTTTTGTACAAGGTGAAGTGTTTGCTATGTGCCAGGGAGCTGGGATATAACAACAACACCTCATCCATGCTTAGGCACTACAGAGCTTTGCATGAGAATAAGGGGAACACCGATTGTGGAGCAAGACCAGGTGAGCCATCAAATGCCATGATAATATAGCATGCAGTAATGTTACTAAATGATATAACAATATTATACAACTGTTATAAGTTACGTGTGTGATATTTATATTTGTGCTTTGTCTTTATTGTCTTTCCTCAGGAGAACAATCTCAAATAGATGAAGACCTGGTCAGCATGGTGATTGAGGACTCCCAGCCATTTAGCATTGTGGAGGACAAAGGATTCAAAAGATTTGTTAAATCATTAAATCCTAGCTATGTTCTCCCCACTAAAAAGGTCATAAAAGCAGTGAAAATTTAGTTTTTACAGAATAAAATGTGAACAGGCAGGACTGAGGCTCAAAGCCTCAGTGTGTAGCTGTCCATACCTCAACGTTACAAAAGCACAACTACTGTCCACACCCCAACCACACCTCACCTCACAGTAAATGATCATTTCCATTTCAAGCATTTCCAAATAATCATTTCCATACTGCCAGTATAAATATACACAGTATACTGCCATCACTACAATATACATGTTTTACACACTCCTTTTGTTGTTGACATTTACAGGCTGTGTGCAAAAGGCCACACTCTTCAAATTCATGCCAACTAATATTTTTACGTCCAGTAGGTGTCCTACTAGAGCAAATGAAGCTTCAAGAAGCTTTGCACTGGGGTGAACCAATTGGATGAAAAGCTTCAGTGCTTCATGAAGCTTCATCTGCCCATCACTACAGGCAGCCGACTGATGATATGAGTGAGGGTTTATTTACAGGTGACAGTGGCAGAAACAGACAACGAAGCATGAGAAATACTAACGGAAACCTAAACTGGGAAAACTAAATAACAAACCGGAGATCATACGAACGGGGGAGGCAGAGAGACACACGAGAACAGGACACCATGAAACACAGACGAGCCAACAACGAACACAGAGCCACACCACTATAATACACCCACTAAATATACACACACAAGGTAATCGGGTAATCACACACAGGAGGGAAGAACAGCTGATCCTAATACACATGATGACTGGAGGACACAAGCTGAACACAATGACAACAGACAGAGACCTTCAGAATAAAACAGGAAATCTAGAACACAAACTTTCTAGTATCAGCTGATGTTTGCTGGAGCCACAGCTGTAAAAGCTGCTGGTCATGTTATCGGTTTGGTTATCCAGTGAGAGGGAAACATGAAGATGAAACCAGGAGATGTTCTTACTGAATCATCAGAGCTGAACAGGTGATGGAGAAACAGGTTTACCTTTTAGGTGACATGGATGAGTTGAAGGGAAGTTCTGAACTGTTTCTGAGAGACAAATAACCCCAGGATCCTTTTCTATGTAGCTGACAGCTGGTAACTGTGTAGGGGCGGGTCTAGCAAAGTGCTGCCAGGGGGCCAGGTAGAGCATTAACAGGGAGAGGGGGGCACAAAGAAATACTTTTCTTTCTTATTCTCATTTCAAATGTCTAGCTTTTAAAAAATAATTATCTGAGTCTTACAACGAACGATTGATAGATTGATACATATATACCATCAAGACAGTGTACATCACTGTCACAACAGTGTTTGTTTTCATTCAAAGGCTTTATGATTTTTGCTATAATGGCGGGCCGGTCTCTGGTCTTTGAGTGGGAGATTGGAATTAATTTCTCAGGGTTTTTCTTGTGATTAACAAATAATTTACTTTGAATGACGTTCGTGTCTTTCATCCCAAATGAAAATTTTAAATGAAAGAATGTATTTTCCCACGAGGAAATCTAAAGGATCTTTTATCCTTGTCCTTTTGAATATTTTTGATACTGTATCAAATTAGAAAAATGGGTTTCATCAATTTATCAGTTATTGTAAGATGAAGGCCGAGAGTCATGTTAAATCACCTTGCTTTCTTTGGTGTCATGTTGATTTTCCATAGTGTTGTAGATTGGAAGATGGATACTATCCCTAAAGAGTACATTAAAAAACATAAGAAAGCATAGCAGAAACATACTAAATTAACCGCGTAAACAATGCAACTTCTTTTAACATGGACAAACTTACTCTATGCCAATTTTCTCCACCTGATCAGGAATTAGCTGACGAAGATCAGTGATGTTGTTTTCTGGGTACATAAGGAAAAGGTTATCAGTCCTGTGATCTATCAACTGTGACTATTAGACTATTATTATTAGCAATAATGGCAAGTTAAGAATGCTCTCAGATGTCAAGCCTTTAGGACGGGATGGTCCTTTTGTTTATCATTTATTTATTTATGTAGCACATTTAATTACAACAGCAATGTTGATCAAAGTGTTGTACAAAACTACAGAATAACTAGTTAAATAACTTATAATATTAGTACCAAACATCAAATACCAAATAACTCTCATACTGTATTAAAAGCCAGTGAATAAAATGTGTTTTAAGATAAGATTAAAAAAGATTGACAGTAGGAGCTTGTCTGCTGTGCAGGGGTAGATTATTTGACTTCCAGGCTTTAACTTCACCAAGACACTGAAGAAAGGGGGCAGAACAATTAGAAGTGGGTTTGTAAATTAAAAGGGGCAAGCTTTTTATTCTCTAAAAAATATACTACCTGATATCATTCCCCTCTCTTAATTTGAATAGTACCCTTTTTTTTATTTGCAATCTATGAAAATGTTTTGTTTCCATACTGATATTATTGAAAAAACTTTCGAATAACTGAACATTCTGACACTAACAAATAGATTTGTGTTACAATAGATGACAAAAATAATGTCGAATCAAAATGAATTCAATCTTAAGTAAATACTTTGGATTTCCTCGTAAAAATTAAGGGAGGAGAAAAAGAGAAATTATTAGTTCAACACATGCAGAAATTAGAACAATTAAATACTTGTATAAAGAAAAGATGTATTCAGCAATACGATGAAACCAAGTTTGTAAACAACAGAAACATTTTGCAGAATGTAATTTCCATTATACTCATATTTCTTCTTTATTTCTGCTTTCTTAATGACTCTTTGTCAATAACACATTACAGACACATTGGCAATCATTTTCATACAATCATTTGTGATAATTGCAATTTAAAATCCGATTATCAAGAGACGTGTTATGCATGTTTGTGTCAGTTACCTTGGCAACAGCAATGAATCTGACTTCAGTCTGCATGAAAAGGATGTCCTTGTTACTGATGATATGCACTTCAAGCTGTCCTCTTTATATAAAGAGATGTTTGGTGTTCAGTCTCCTCCCCCTGTGCTTTCTGTATTTCTATTTGTGTGTGTGTGTTGTGTCGCTGTTGTTTCTGTTGGTTTGTGTCGTACTGTGCGCTGTGAGGGTCGTGTGTAATGTGTGGTTGATGTTGTGGTGTGTAAGTGTTGTGTTGTGGTGTGTGTGTGTCAGTGCACATTGGCTGGCTAACAAATCCTGTTGCCTTTGTCATATTTCTACAGACCTAATAGGAACATAATAAACAATCTCAAGAAAAGCCCTTTTGTACTTTTAAGTTTATTTTCCTCTAGTCTCAGCTTGCTCAGCTACTAGCCTCCCTCTTTCTGTATTCTGTAACCTTTTCTTAGTCTTTCGAAAAAACAAAAACAAAAAAACAACAATAGACAGTAGGCAATACGGCAAAAGTAACCAGTGGTCTGTCCAGCTTTGAAAAGCCAAGGTCAGAATAGTAAACATGGTTATTTGAATTGCAATAGCTAGCTCAAATATAAAAATGTTGCACTGCAAACACTGTTGGCAATTTTAGCTTGGTGAGGACAGCCTATATAACAATGGAGGTGTATATAAAATGTTAGGCTGGCTTTTAGCATCATCACGTGGACCAGCAAGCACCTCCTGTCAAAACATACTCTCCTGGTCCAACAGGGTAGACTTGCTCTCGGAATGGCTTCACTCTACAGGTAAAAACCAATCCCAAAATAATCCTCAGCTGTGGGATCACTCTCAGGGCTTTCTGTTGATTCAGGGTCTGTTGACTTAAAAGCATTTTTCATAAAAACTGTCCTATTGCTGTAGCATCAGCAAGAATTTTAAGTGAGGAATTTTAAGTCAGGCTCCTCACTTAATTTCCTTTCGCTGCTCACCTCTCACACAGTGGCACACAGTGGCTCAGCTATGCTCAAATCCCTCCATATTGTGACATATTATTATTTCGCCTTTCGTGCCCTTCGAACACAACTAAATGCAACCAGTTAGATTGAGCAGTAAACTACGACAGTAAGTTACAGAAATGTCAGCAACTTTGTTCATAGAACACAAAGAGTTTTCGGTAAATGCAAAAAAGAAGCATTCGGCAAAATGCAGATTTTGCAAAGTCTCCTTGACCGAGACAGCCAGGACTACCTCAACCTTCACCAGGCACCTGGAGTGCAAACACCCTCAAAGGTAAGCTAGCCAGTAGCCATCTTTCCATCTTCAAACTCTTATACCTACCTTTCCAACCTCAGATGACCAGGTCATGTTTATGTAATATTGTTATTTATAATGTGTTCTTCACACGGTATAAATTATTTAGGGACAGATTTTTTGCAACTGTCTCTGCAGACTTAACTTTTCTTGTGAAAATTGTAACTAACGTTCCATGCTAAGTGCAGGTAGCTACCGCTAGCAGTGGCTATCAGCTGCTTAAACAGTTTTCACTAACTTTAGGTATTTTGGCGTATTCTTTGAGCAGAAATATATCGAAACCATTTCAGTGAGCACTTTACGGGCTGGTATGGTGTGGTTTGTTATTGACTTTAATGGCCATATTTATGTGGTTGCTGACTCATAAGGAAGGACGGGCGTTTCAAGAGTGTCCCTATAACATTGCTAGGCTAACAGCCAGTGTTGCCAACTTTCTGGTTCTCAATACAATACCAGGACACCTAAATTTAGTTTTTAAAATTTAATTTTTTTTTTTAGATTTTGAATTTTAAGTTATAATGTTAAATGAAAAAAAATATGTCCACGTTCCTTCACCTAATATATTCTTCCTCGTCTCCTTATTGCTTCCTCATTGTCTTCATTTGCGTTTTTACCGTGTAAACGACAGCTATTGGTGTTAAACAACAACAAACGTGAGCAGAAATCCTAACTGAGCTAAAATGAATGAAACAATGAGAGGCCACCCAATGGGGGTCCGCTGCTGCAAAGACAAAAATCTTTCTTGAAGGAGGGTGGATAAAGAAGGGAAATACAAGTAGGCCTTTTAAAAAAAAAGAAAAAAAAAGAAGAAAAAAAAAGAAAGAAAAAAAAAGAAACAAAAAAAAAAAAAAAAATAAAAATAAAAAAAAAAAAAATACAAAAAAAAAAAAAAAAAAATAAAAAAATAAAAAAAAATAAAAAAACATAACAAAAAAAAAAAAAAAAAAAAAAAAATAAAAAAAAAAAAAAGAAAAAAAAAAAAAAAAAAAAAAAAAAGAAAAAAAAAACAAAAAAAAAAAAATAGACAAAACAAAAAAAAACATAAAAAATACAGATTTAAATAAGAATTATGTTACTTAAAAAACAACAGAAAATCCTTAAACTGAGCTAAAATGAAACAATGAAAGGCACAATGGGGGGGGAAAACATTCAGCTTGCCCACGTCATCAGGCAGCTTCCAGTATGTTGCTAATGGTGATGGCATTGATTCCTTTGGTTACCTGTGGACAACAACGATCACTGAGATCACTGCTGATGTCTCTTCTCCTTGCCATCGTGTAACGCTAAAACCTGTGCCTTTACAGAGGGGCTCACACTTTCTGATTAATCAAGCGCGTTAAGCTTATTTAGCTTTTCACACAGTGCTTTTGGCAGATTTCTTTGCTAATCAATCACATGGTGTAACATGTGATTGATTCATTTTCATCTGAGGTTGTATTTAAATCATTTTAGAACCTCGTAAGTAAGACCTGTAATTGCTTTATTATTTCCATAAAATTTTTTACCTGAGGGTATAAATTACTTATGGAGCTCCACAATTCTTTTCCTGGTGTTTTGGTTGACATCTCTTGATTTTCCCATTTCAAGAAACAGGCTCTGTGTTTTGCCTTATATGCATCCACAGGTGTGCCACCAATTTACTCACATGGACTCTACTAACCTATCAGAAGCTTCTTCAGCTCAGAATGGAATCGTCTGGAGTTTTCTTATTAATTAACAATAAACTTAGTGTATATGTACTCCTAAATTTGATGAAAGTGATAAAAAATAGACAGCTCTGTCTCTCTTTATTCTGACATTTAACTAATTCAAAAGATATTTCAATATTTATCTAAAACAAAAGTTTACTCTAAATTGATGTTGTACAGTAAAAAATGTTTTCTCCCTAAAGTGTAAATATCTGGTTACAAATGTGAATATCCTGCTGTGTACTGAAATCCCTCTTGTTTTGCATAGAAATATACTGAACAACATACAAAGCATAATATATAAAATAACATTTACCTGAGTTTTTTCTTTGAAAGAACTCTAATGTCTTAGTATCACATTACCGATTTTCGGTCATTGAAAAACCCTCTAATGTCCATTCTTATATTTCATGGGATGTACATAAGCATGCAACGGATTTAATACCAATAAGGGATCCACGAGAGGTTAAGAATATAGCTGAAATCTTTATCCATTACACCAAAAAACGGCGTAGGATCACTGGGATTTTACTCAAAAAATTGTATAGACATGACCACGTGTGGAAGTGTGCAAACTCCAGAGCTCTGACATCTCGTGGTCACCTGAAAGTCTTTTGATGCAGAGCCTTTGGTTGTTCTCTCCTATCACAATAGAACCCATACTCTAGTTGCACGGCAGGCTGCCACTCCATCGTGACACCTGCTGGATCTCACCCATGCAGTATTGACATTGAGCAGGAGCCAACATTTCTACTCTGGCTCAAGTCCCGAAACAGCACAAAAGTATCACAAACATGGGCCATATTCATTTTAGTCCACAACTTATCCACATCAGCTCCATTAACACTAGTCCTTGTCTTCATATTTTGACTATATAATCTTGGATAAAGTATAGTCAGTAACTTTTGCAAAAAAGGGTGTCAACCTACTGTTCATCGGGAGTACTTTCCATGTAATTTGTGAGCCTGCGGCAGACTCGTTAACTGGCCATTATACAACACAAAGTACCTATCCCAGACACACAAACATCGTCCTACAGAGGCAAGCTTTCTCCAGAATGAAATGTGCCTGGATCCCATCTGCCGGATGAAATCACTTACTTTCCATACGAACGAGAGGACAAGGATAGTTATCAGCCTATGTGGTCGCGTAGGGCGCTGTGGAAAGAATGTGCTCATGCGGACTCTCTGTGGAACCCAAGCTATCTTGCAACCTTTTTCCAATTTTCAAGTTCAGGTGGACATTCTGACATTCACTTTCAGGGGTCTTAAAGCTCATCAGGCCACCAGCAGCGGTGGGGCTCCCCTCGTCGAGCTCGTAGGATTACTACTCTTAACTCAGTTCTCCCCTGCTCTCTCGCTCTCACACGTTGACTCCTTTGGGCACCTCCACCCACCAGTTCTGTAGGTTCTCTAAAGTCAAAGTTTTGCAGGGATGAGCCATCGATCTTGCGGATTATTTGGTAACTCATCTTACTAGGAAGACGGCGATGAGTCTTGACCAACACTTACGCTAGAGTAGTCAGGGAAGGGCTGGTTACTATGAACGGTGCGTGTTGTCCTGGATGGGTCAGCATTTCATAACATACCTAGTGAAAAGCCTTGAGGATGCACCCAGATATGAGCTAGTGGAGCAATTTATTGCTTGCAGGCACTTCAAGAAGAACTACAAGCCTCCCCACCACATGCAGATTGTGGACTTCAGGAAGCACACAGCCATCATTGACTGACACCCCCATCACCTCTGTGGACTCATTCCGCTTCCTGGGTACCACCATCACCCAGGACCTGAAGTGGGAGCCCACCATCACCTCCGTCATTAAGAAAGCCCAGCAGAGGATGTACTTCCTGAGGCAGCTGGGAACTTTCTCCTCCTCGAGAGACAAGTGTGGTTCTGACCAACGATATATTTCAATTTTCTACACATCACCTCCGTCATTAAGAAAGCCCAGCAGAGGATGTACTTCCTGAGGCAGCTGAAGAAATTCAACCTGCCAACACGGACGATGATGCAATTCTACACTGCAATCATCGAGTCCATCCTCACCTCCTCCATCACCGTGTGGTACGCTGGAGCCACTATCAGGGACAAACAGAGACTGCAGCGTGTTGTGCGCTCTGCT